AAACAAAATTGAACAATACCTGAAACAAATATTTGTAAGTGAAATAAATATATTTTAAAATATATAATCAATTTAGCTTTTTACCTTTCTGATGGCTTGAGCTTTTGAACATTATCCTTAAGTACTTTCATCATCAATGGACATATTCCTGGTGAAATTCTTACAGTAGATAGGATGTTATTCAATGTCCGTTTGCTTGGCAAGGTAAACAATTTTGCCAACATGCGATAACATTTTGGTGAACGTTTATACAAAGATAAAGTTAACATTTTTTCACTCAAATTGAATATGTGTCCTCTGCTACGCTTTTTTGTCTCTCTAACTTGAAGTTGCATGAACAATGAAGCAGAAGCAGTAGTTTTTTGTGACAGCCGTTAAACTAAACATTTATCAGTGAACTTTTCAGCATCTCTAATTCTTGTTTTAAATAAATTTTTTGGTTCGTATTACGTCGATTTTGTTTAAGGAGCAGATTTGTAATTTTATAAAATTTTCTACAATTTGGTGTCAAACGATTACAGTTGGCAACCCCAATTTGTTTCAAAATATCTAGAATAAAAACCAAAATTTAGACAAATGTTCAATTGTATAAAAGATAAATCAATCTACAAGCCAATCAAAATCAATTTTTTAATATTTTCTATTAAATCTAAAAACAAGAATAAATAAAAATCATAAGCACCAGTTCCAGTTTTCTGTTTTCTTGCAGTTGGTTTAGCATACTTAACATGCAACTTTTTAGCATTTCCAGAATTGCTTACTTCTACATTAYCTGCTGTTAATACCAAAAGCAATAAATAATCAAGCGTAATAGCAATAGGCATATTAAAAAGCAACAAATGTAAAAAATACAATATGCTAATTTACTAAATTTGAAATAAAAAAATAACTTCATACCAATCTGGTCTGGTTCAACTGAAGATATATCTAAAACATTAAACCCAGCCATCATGGAATCGTTCATTGAAGGTGAACTAGGACGGACTACTAAAGAAAAAATTAGACCTATATTTAGAAACATTAGATAAATAAGCATATACATTTGTCTTTACCATCATTAAAAACTGRTGTATTATCAACATCATTTGATGTACATGTAGGTTTACTATGACTATTATGAACTAGTAAAAGAACAAAACATGTAATTAAACACCTAGAATATTAGGTGAATAAACTTATAAAATTGACAAAATTTATATGGTTAGAAATATTAAGCAATAAGCAGGCTTAATGCCCCTGCCTGCTGATATTAATAAAGGGTATTTTATTTAATATTTACTTACATGGCAAGTTAAGCGAAGGATATRAGTTRGCATTAAGTCTTTTGGTTCCGGGGCTTGAACAATCAGCAGTAAAGTGTACRGCACAAATCACTTTCTTGGCATACACATCGTTACAATTTTCTTTTTCTAGTCCGACAATTTTCATYCAATCACATAGTCTTGTCATGTTGGTTTTCGGATTAGGAAAACGATGACAAACAACACCTATTTGGTACCGTTATATTAGACATTGTGGTGTAACTCCAGAAACATGTTTTTAAGTTATATTGATAACACAAAGAAAATACTTATTTTTTTGGTACTGTAGTTGTAGTAAATGTGCATTTGAATATTAACAAAATATTTGGTTACAATATTCTCAAAGTTATATTATTYATAAGGAATTTTAYAAATGAGATAATACTTGATCTGGATCTTGATCACTTAAAGTATTTTGTCCATTGTACGCATTTCTGTTTGTGGATTTTAATTGTTCAATTTTTTTTTAAATTTTAGAACGTGATCCTATTAGAGGAACTAATTCTTTAACCATAGACTCTGTCAAACTTTTGAAACTTTCTTCATCAATTTGTTGATCTATATAATTCATTAAATATTTAAAATCAAATATAAATTTTAGATTATAGTAGCACAGATGTCAATACGTCATGAAGTTCTATCAATGTATACAGTATAGTAATGAAAAATCCGATCAAATGTTAATTACTCGTATCTGGTACCTACCCAAACACGTGTTTAATAAGACGTTTTCTGATTTTTTACCTACCTAAAAATAAATATATAATTCTCTAAATATTCCTGTTTAGAGAATAGGATTTTTTTTTATTAACAATCAAAAACTATACGTAATGTGTAACACTGTAATGTTATAATATATATTATATAAATACATTTRGGTTACTTATAATATACTGACGTTAGAACAAGCTAAGATATTAGCTAATGAACTTCAAATTGAGGCTAACTTTCCTGTCCCAACTCGAATTTGTCGTAGAACTACTCAATTTGYTTATGAATCACAAGACGAACCTATTAATGACCCAAAACAATGTTTTAAAATTAACTTTTTCAACCAGATTTTAGACACCGCTATCCAATCAATAAATGACAGATTTTCTCAACTTACAGACCACAGTGATCTATTTTCATTTCTTTATAATATAACTGTGGTTTCTGATTTTGATGAACTTATGAAAAACTGTAAAGATTTACAAATAGCACTAACTTCAAGTGATGGATTAAGTTCGGATATAGTTGCTGTTGAATTGTATAGTGAAATTATATATCTTTGCAAAAACGTTTTACTTTCGAAACATGTGATCCGAAATCAGTTCTTGAGTACATATGTAGAAACAAGTTGATAGAACTTTACCCTAATCATAGGCGTAAATTGGGGGGGGCTTAGGGGGACTTAGCC